TGCTCTCGTATTTTGGCGACTGGGGATATGTCTGGTGTTATTCACCTTTGGAACGTGCCACCTATCACTCTTAATGAAGGTTCTTCCTCGATTGAAACCATTCAAGCACTCACTACTGCCTGGCTGTTGCATAATCAACATCTTCCTGATCAGACCCCTAGTGAGTTCACGGTACAAGAGCTACAATGGCTATGCTTGTGGACGCCTACACTGCAGCAACCAGAGCCGCACGAGACGAGCAAGTCACAGAAAAATCATTCATTGCGTTGCATTCTGATAGCGGGAGGAGAAGATGGTATGGTGACGATCTGGCCCATATCCACGCCTTTTGGCGACCAGCCTGGCGGCATGACGAGAAGTTCTAGAAAGCCTGGGCCTAAATACCTTCACGGTATCGGCTATTTTGGCCAGTGTGGTGGTGCTGTGATTTCTTAATTTTATTTATTGTTTTTAAAAGGTTGAATATTTTCATTTATACTTCTTCACTTGATATACTTGCTTAACTTAGATTCAGAATAGGCTGCTTTACTATGGGCATTTACTTGGTGTTATCGCAAACGAGGTTTTCAGCCGTCTGTTGACTAATATTTATTCCCAGCAGTTTTTTGTCATTCAATGAAAATTGTTGAGCTTACTTCCATTTCAAGTGACAGTGTTTATCGAAGGGATTCGAAGGTCGATCCCATTAAAAGACGGTGGCAGATTTTTCTTGACAAGCTATCCATTGGCTCTACTGGAACATTCTTGTTGACGCTGTTTCCGAGTTATTCTCCTTCGATTCTGGTGAATGCGTGCTAAGCTTTAGTCCATAGTATGACGAACATCATCAGAGCAGAGTATCATCCTTACAACCAAATTAAAGGTAACAAGTCAACAAAACTTACCGGCTCAACGCCCTTTATCCTTGAGTCTATTAATAAAGCACAAGTAATTTTTACTTCTTGCCGATATTCCTTGCATTCAGATTATTGCCTATTCAGTCTATTTCTATGACTTCTCTAATTTTACGTTTAGCCGCAGGCATACTTTAATCAGCAAAACGAGAAGCTTGACCGAGAACAGACGTTGCTTTTTCAATCCTAATTATTTTTAGCTATCCCTGTTGACTTCATACATGTGCGAACACATGAAGGCACCATAAACGCACAAACACACTCACATACTTCGTTGCATACATACAATCTGAACTAAGGAAATAAAAGCGCTTAGCTATAGGATATATATACAACATTTCGGGATGAGCTTGTGAGTTATAGACTTGTTAGCTTGAATTTGGTCGTAAGGATGATACCCCGCTCTGATCATGTTCGTCATACGACGGACGAAAGCTTAGTACGTTTTCACCAGAATCGTAGGAGATTACCTCGGAAACGGCGTCTACAAGAATGTTCAAGTAAAGCCACTCGACGGCTGATCAAGAGGAATCTGCTGCCGTCTTCTGCTGTTATCGATCTTCGAATCTCTTCAACACACTTTCATTCCAAATAGAAATAAGT